GAGGAAAGATTTATATAAGGAAGCTAGTGTTGCTAAAGGTGTTACTCAAATTAGCAAGTCACAGTCAACAGTGTTAAACAAGATAGAAAGGCTATTATTAGTGTGGATGAAAAAAAAAGGGAGATGGCAGGTTATAGCCTGAGTCTATAATTTGTGAAAAAGCTAGGGCTATACATGTAGCTCTCATAAAGGATAATCCACCAATGAGTGATAATGGTGAAACATTTTGTCCCAGTAAGGGGTGGCTTCACAATTTTAAAGCAAGAACTAGTGTTCATCATGTAACTGGGCATGGTGAAGCAGCCAGTGCTAATAAAAAGCCTGCTGGAAATTATATATATTACTTTGAAATGATGACACAGAGAAATGGCTTTTGCTCTCATCAAATTTTCTACTGTGATGTAGAAAAATTTTCTGGAAGAAAATGCCCAGGAGAATATACATTACCCAAGAAGAAAAGAAAATGCCAGGTCACAAGCCTATAAAGCATAGACTAACCTTATTGCTAGGTACCACTGTGAGTGGTGACCTCAAGATAAAGCCTCTCTTGATTTATCACTCTGAGACCCCTAGAATGTTCATAAAACATAGTCATGAAGAATAGGTTAGGGCCCATGTGGAGATCTAATGAAAAAGCCTGGGTAACGAGAGTACTTTTTCTAGAGTGGATCAAGGAGACTTTATGTCCTACTGTTAAGAAATATCTAGAGGACAAAGGTTTACCACTCAAGGCTCTCCTCATCATGGACAATGCTCCTGCTCACCTGCAAGATTTAGAAGAATTGGCTGAAGAATTCCCATGTCTCTCAGTCAAGTTCCTCCCCGCTAATACAACTCCTCTACTGCAGCCTATGGACCAGCAGGTCATAGCAAACTTTAAGGAGCTTTACACGAAGGACCTGTTCCTGAAGTGGTTCTAGAGGGTCTCAGATACAGATTTAAATCTTAAAGAGTTCTGGAAGGAACATTATAACATCCTTTCCTGTGTGGGCTTAATTGAGAAATCCTGGGTCAATGTCTCTGTAAAGACACTGAGATCTGCCTGGAAAAAGATGTGGCCTAGAATTATATGGTAGAGAGATTTCGAGGGCTGTGTAGAGGAGCCTGAGCCTTCAAATGACCCTGTGGTTGATGACACCATCACTATAGCAGAGTCCATAGGCTTGAAGGTAGACAGTGGTTAATGTTGAGGAACTGGTGGACGAGTTGTCTATAGAGGAATTTCAGGAACTTCTGACTGAGCAGCAGAGATTGGAAGCTGAGAGGCTTTCTGAAGAGGTGGAGTATTAACAGTCAGTGCAGCAGAGTTCTTCTGAAATAAAGGAAACCCTGAAAAAATGGACAGAGCTACAAACATCTGTAGAGAAGACCCACCCAGATAGAAAAAGCCAATTGTTGCATTCACTCACTTAATGACAATGTCATGTCATACTACAGAACAGTGTTAAAGAAAAGACAGAAACACAACCTTAGATCAGTTTTTTGTTTTGAGAAGGTTGAGACTAGTGAGCCAGAAGCAGGTCCTAGCGAGCTGCAGACTCTCCCAGGGAGAGAAAGGACACCGACGCCGGAGAGCCAGAGTCCTGATGTTCTTCCAAACAGTAACCACCTTCCATTTCACCCTCCCTTCTGTCAGGTCAAAGATGTCAACTTGAATGGTGAGTACAGTATGAAAGTGTTGCTAATAATCTAGGCACATTTTATAATTTTTTGTGACTACACTAGGAAAATTATTGGTGTTTTGTTTTTTTTTTTTTTTTTTTTTTGGTTTTTCTCCGGTACCGGGAACCTAACTCACGACCTTGCGCTTGCCAGGCAGGCGCTTTGCCGCTGAGCTAAATCCCCAGCCCCTATTGGTGTTTCTGATACATTGTGCACATACTATTGGAGACCCTTTCTGGCGCCAGCTGTCCAGGACCCCTGCAGTCCCCGATCTCCTGCTCAGAGTTACAGTGCACAGTGCACAACAGGAAAGAAAAAGAAAGAGACAAGAATCTCATGAAAATAGGGTTCTGGGACAAGAAAATAGGGTTCTGGGATGATCAGTGTTCTCTGGGAACAATGACCCAGAATCTCCCACTAGCCACCGTTTTATTTAACCCCCACAGGGGGAGGGGTACAGGGCCTTTCCTGGAATAGTGTAGAAGCAGTGGTTGAATGGGCAGTTTTAACATCATAAGGGTAACAAGCTAAGGGTCCTCCCCACACCTGGGCACTGATCTCCCAGTATTGTCCTCGGCAGACTTCATCTTGCTCTGTGAGCTGCACTGACAGGAAGAAAGTGGGATTTCCACACTCCCAAGCTGGCCCACAAGGCAGGGCAACGAGGCCTCCCCTTCCTGACAGATTCTATATCAGTTTATCATTCGTGGTCCCTAACATTATACACCTCTTTTTATTATGAAAAGGTTAGTGAAGGGGTGCTTTAGGAGGCTTGGAATGCATTATGGGTATTTCCATGATTTCTTATGGGAAAAATAGTCTTGCCTTGCAACCAACTTGATTTATAGCTACCCCTTGCGAATGAATTGAGCTCGTAGGTCAAGGGTCCACTGTATAGTATTTTGAAACAGCACACTATACCCCATAATATGTATATTTACTAGGTGTGAATTAAAAACAAAAAAAAAAATAGATATTTAAAAATGAAAGTACAGGCTCTGAAGTAGAGTTACTAACATTTAGGGGAACTCAAGTTGTCCTTTAAGGCCTGACCTAATATTTTATGTACTGAAAAGTTTGTACACTTTATTTATATTGCATTCTTATAAATTATATATAAAGGCAGAGGAGGATGAATTTATGGATTGTGGAAAGTTGTGCTTATTAATTATTTGAGAAAAGAAAGTAATAATTATAGCTGATGTTCAACCAATCAAAACATTTATGGGCTGGGCATGGTGGTGCATGCCTGTAATCCCAGCTCGGGAGAGGCTGAGGCAGAAGGATTGCAAGGCCAGCCTGGGCTACATAGTGAGTTCAAGACTATCCTGAACTATGTTGCAAGATCTTATCTCAAAAAAACCAAAAACATTTTTATGGAGAAAACCACAAAAGCAGAAATAGGGTCATTGAGGGACAGGAACAGGCCAAGAGTGAAAAGGAAGAGAGATTCTTTGCTGCAGTCTCTCTTAGAGCACAATGCAGGCTGACTGTAGAAGTCTTAAGGCATTTCTCTCAGATCATTAATGGACTCAATCCTTTTTAATTTCCTCTTCAGCCTCTGATGTGGAGAGGGCAAATTTACTCAAACTTGATGGTGGAACATTGGTAGTATCAAGTATTCTCATTCATGTTTAGGATAATCACTTAGTATTTGTTTTAAAAATATATAATTTCAGTTTTTGATCTAAGTGTCACAAAGGAAACCCTAGAAAACATGCCTTTTAGCACAAAGTCCTAGGTATTCACCGTAACATCAAGGAGATTCCACCCCACCTTGCCTCCGAGACACTGCATGTATCAAGTCCTCTGGAGTTTGCCAGTGCTCGCTGGTTGAGGTAGCGGCTTATTTGGACATGGTCAGTTAATTCTGGGAGATAACAGTGGGAATCTCATAGGCACCAAGTGAGGCATACCAGGGTTCAAGTCTTAGTTTTGCTGCTTACCTGTGAGATCTGGGCCTGGACCTCCATGGGCCTTGTTCTCCTCCTCTAGATATGGGATACTGCTACCATTCTAAGGTAGTGATCGGACAGTAGATAGCACAGGAGGTTTTCAGTTATGAGTATTTTCTTTCAAATTCAGAGGAGCCCAGCATGGCGTGCCTCCAGTTATGAGGCATAACTGCTCCATGCTGCACTGAATTATATCCAGTTCCCAGGGTGGCTGAACAGACCTCTATGTGCCATGGTGTTGCCTTCTACTACACGCCATCTTCAGAGTTAGGAAGAGAGAGGCAAGGCTGATCCGTGACTTTGCTGAAAAATGACAAGCGTACCTCTGGCCAAGGTGCCTGATTTCTCTACAGTAACAAATTCCTGACTTCCATTTTCTTGAAAGGGTCCTCTAGGGTTCTTTTAACCTTCCCTTTTGTTTGCTCTTAAAGAAATAAAACAAAGCAAAACTTCCCAAAGTAAATAGAAGGGATGATACCATGCTCTATAATGACTCTAATTCAATGACATCTGGCTTTAACTTAATGTTACAAATTACTAAACCATGCCAAAAATGACTTCTATAGACACTGCCACATGGCTTGCTGTTGTGGAGTAGATGAGCAGTTTGGGGACCATGCTTGGATAGCATCTGTCTTTGCTAATATCTCAAGAGTACTATGAAAATCTCCCATCTTTTTCTCATTCAAGGGCTTTATTCTATATGTTCAAATCCTGCATAGCACTAGAGCAACATTGTGTGAGGTGGAAAACCCCATAAGGATTTACAGAAAATAGGTTATATTCTAGAAGGATTTCCTCAGTCTTGTAGTTCTTGGTTTCAATGTTTTAAATTTAGTTCTTTAAATTTTTTTTTTTTGGTCTTGATTTGGATAACTCGGGAGCAACCAAGCTGTAGGATGCTAGCAGGTGTTTATTAAAACCCTGGGACAAAGTGATTGAAATAGAGAAGTGCATTACTATACCTCTTGGCTCTATCTCCAAGTGCTCCCTCCTGTCCTGCTCTGCGGATGCTTTTCCGTCTCCTAACAGGTGCGCCATGGTTCACCTTTACAGCTGTAAGTAAGGCCTGGGAAGCGTTTGCACTTGTTTCCATACCCACTGCTTTATCTACATAAATTAAATTGGATTTCCGATTAAAGGGATCCCTTACAGCCACAGCTTGTATTGGGCAAGTGATTAGGACCTAAATAGCAGCCCCTGCTGGGGATACTTCCTTCCTCCACTGTCCCCTAATCACCAACCAGAAAAGCTTGTCCCTGAGGAAATGTTTCTGGTGGAGGAGACAGAACTCCCAAGGCATGATGGGATGCAGGGAGAGTATTAAGACTCACAAGTGTTTCTAACAGCTCACGAAAGAGAAGACTTAAGAAACACACAAACCTTTCCTTTTGCAGTCCAGTGTTTGTATGGGGAACACATAATTGTGGCACAGAGTTGAGTCAGCCTCAGGCCTGATGACCGGGGGTCTCCCTGACACTTGGGGTCTTGGGTCTAGTTGCTCTTTTTCATCTTCATTACACAACTCTTCGGATTTAAGCTGCAGCAGTTTTTTATTTTTTAGTGCTTGTGGGCTTTCACACTTAGCATAGTTCCCCAAATTTCGGTTCCTTGGAATCTGCAACATGGAAACGAGCGTTTCTATCTCGCAGGTGCACTGCCAGGGGTTGTCATAGAGACGCAGGTAGCTCAAGAGAGGCATATAGATGAACACTTCCTCTGTCAAGACTTTGATCTGGTTGTGCTGCAGTAAGAGTGTGGTGAGTTTGTTTAAACCGAAGAATGCCTCGCTCTCGATTTTGGAGATCTCGTTCTGCTGCAGATCCAGGCTCTTTAGCTTTTTAAACTTGGCAAACATGTTGCTCTTTAATATGCGGATCTTGTTTCTTGCTAACAGCATGTGCAGCAGGTCTTGAGGCCAGGCAGGAAGCACATAAACTAATTTTCTTTCCTGACAGTCTAAGTATTTCTCGTGGAGATAGGTGTACACATCACAGGGGTGGCCTGGCGCGTAGCGTTTGACAGGGTGGGAGCTCCTCCGGCCCCCCGCTGCCCGCCCGTAGATGGCACGGCTTCTGGCACCGCCTGGGTTGGCCCTGCGCAGCAGCTCTGCGGCTCTGCAGAAGCACAGCAGTAGGACGAGGGTGACCGCGCGCATCCTGACATCCAGCTGGCCCTGATTCCTGGGTGTGACAGACGGAGTCAAGAAAGTATGCCTTTGAAATCCAAGGTTGGACAATCTTAACTAACGCAGTTCGGGAACAGTAAGACCCAGCTGGGGTATGTAGAGTCCCTAGGTTGGAATAAGAAACAAGTATTAAAAGTTGAAGACCACTGGGAGCATGGTGTGTGACAGAAACAGCAGCTTGTTTTTAGGCAAAGGCCTGGTTTAAAAAGGTGCTCGCAGAACAGTGGTGTAGGAGCGCCTTGTCCTCTTGCCGCCTGGTGGATTGGCACCCGTTGGGGCCCTGAGTTTGAGTGCACTCTCACCTGCCTGCGTGGTTATGTGACCCCCGCTGTTCTTCACCTCATCTCTTGCCTGCAAAATGGGACCAGGGCAACTGAGAGTCGGACTTGAGCGTGTATCCCCCGAGCTTAGTTCTCCTGTCCTTCCTCGCCCAGTCAGCAGTCAGGTTCTATGGCTCCTGCATGCTCAGACAAGATGGCGCTGTGTTTGTCATCTCCCACACACCAGGGCTCAAATGTCACCTTCTCAGGGAAGCCTTGTCCTTAAGGGGTTATTTAAAATTGCACCCCCTCCCCCTGGCCAGGCGCTCCTTGTTTTATTTTTCACCATAGAACTTATCAGCATCTGTCAAAGTAGATGTTTTAGTTCTTTTATATGCTGTTTCCTCTAACTAGAAAATAAATTCCCTAAAGGAAAGGATTTTTGTCTGTTTTGCTCATTACTGTATTTCCTCGATAAATGTTGAATGTATGAACTGTGCTCATGTAAGTATTCTATTTCATAGCATCCATCTCATAGACTAGCTTATATTGTTTTGGGAATGTGTTGTTTTCTCGTCTTACTGGTGACTTCCAAGAGCTGTACGTTTTTAAGAACTGTGTTTTCATTTTTTCAAATTCTGAAAGTATTTCTGGTTTGCATTTATCATTTAGGACATAGTCCACTCTTGGCAAAGGAAGAGATGTTCAGAATGGATTTATAACTAGTAACACGTCTGTTGTTGTTAGTGTGGGACTGCGTGGTTATGAGCTTCAGATGTGCTTTCTATTCATTATAGCAGTTCAAGTGCCAGGACCACCCTGGCCTGCAGCTTTCCTGCTTTGTGGGGTCTCCACCCCACCTAGAATGCCTCCCCCTGTTTTCCTCAAGAGTCTCCCAGGCACTGGTTTGTGTGTCTGCTCCCAGCGGCTCCCAGGCCTCTGATTGTGTAACGCTTTGCCATCTGGCTGTGTACATGCCTCGTCTCCTTTGAAGGCTCATACGCTGTGCAGTGGCCTCTGGTCTCAGAGCTAATCGGGATTAAGCCTTTCCAACCCTTCACTTTTATGCCTGCAGTTTGTTGTAAGCTGTCTGTACATTGTCTAATATAACCTAAAAAAACATAATGAATAGTTTGTGTATTATTATGCGTGCTGAAGATTTGGAGGAGAGTGTGTCTGTGTCTGCAATTTACGTTCAAATGTGTAAAAAAACTAAGATGAGATGAAGAATGGATTCAAAAATGGATGGGTGGGGGTGCGTGTGATAAAGCAAATTCAATAAAATATAAATTGTAATCCAGATGGTGGCGATAGGGGTATTAATTGTGCAATTCTTATACATTCTGTGTATATTTGAAAAATTTCATAATAAAATGTTAAAAAAGAAAAAAGTATGCACAAAAAGTAAGTTTATTTTCTTCCTAGTTTCTCTAGTATTTCTCTGTTTCCCTTCTTCCTCAAACATAATAATTACATAAATATAATTTTTGAAGTCAAAATATGAGGTGGGATCAAAAAAGTGTTTAAATTTTTAAAAAAATTATTACAGTAAAAGGCACGTTGCCATGAATCCCCCTCAAACACTCCCCTTGCTTCAAATACACTTTCTTATTATTATTGCCATTTCTGAAGCGGTTCTGGAAGTCCTTTTATGCATTCTTAGTTGCACTGTCATGGCCGCCTGGATGTCTTGAATTGATTGAAAACATGTACCTTTTATGACTATTTTGACATTGGGAAAGAGCAGAAGTTGTACAGTGCTGGATCTGGTCGATGAATAAAGTGGATAAGGACACGCCATAATGCTTTTATGAGACTGCCTTTCTGTTGGATGGCACTCAGCACATTGGCCATAGTTTTGATCACTCCTTATAATGACACTTGTGAAAGAGGACTTGCAGAAGTGCTTCAGAAAATGGCGAGAATGATGGGATATCTGTATTCAGAGTAAGGGGGATTAATGTCAATGTGTCTTTTACTGTAGTAACAATTTTTAAATTTAAAAATTTATAGCCTTTTTTATCACCCCTTGAAATTGTTTTCATGGGAAGAGAAATCTGTATATTTATTAAGGAACATAGTACTTGCCAAGGTTTCTGTTTATTTGCCAGTGAATATATCACCTTGAATAGAAGGTGGAAAAAACTTAAATTTAAACATTGGTAATATGTTGCTTAGTAATATGTAACTTGTTTGATTTAGGCCACTGCAAAAACTTGCAAGAGCTGAATGTCTCTGACTGCCCCACACTCACAGTGAGTATAAGCAGCTTTTTTAAACTGTTGTTTCTATAAATGCAGACTTCCTACACTGAAAAGCCAGTATGCAGAGGGCATGCCTGTGCGGACCTTGAAGGTTGAAAGTGGAAAAAAGCAAACCGTACTGTGCATTGGCACGAAATTTGAGCCAAATTATACAGTGCTGTTGTATAGATACATGCTCAGTGTTGGAGCTCCTGCCAACTGGAACTCTTTGATGGTTACACAGGATGGACTGTATTTATAGTGCATGTACAGATGAGACAGGAAAACTGGGTCGCAGCAGAGACGACAGGCTCATTTTAATGGTTTTCATGGCTACCAATAGCTGTCTTAGAGAAGATGGAGATGAACATATATCTCTGTGCCTCCTGCCTGGCCCCTGTCCCCCTGTTTTCCCTCTGCTCCAATTTGTCTTCTAATCTGTGAGCACATGCTACTCTCTAACAGATCCGACCCCTTCAGTCCCACCAACTACACACTCCTGTTCTCTCCTGGATAAAATCAAAGCACTTAACATTCCCTTCTTAACATTCCAGTGGTCGCGCCTGTGTTTCCTTTCCAGCCCTGTCTCGTCCCCCACTCCGATGTGCACAGGACGTTTCAGCAGTTGCAGGCTGCTGAGTGTTCCTCGCTGCACACACCGAACTGCTCCTTGCACTTTCACTCTCGCTTGTGCTCGGAATGCTCTTTCCCTTTGTCGTTAAGCAGTGCTTTTCTTTTTGCCCATCTCCAAGGTTTACTTTCCCCATCACTTCCTCTACTAGAACACCAGGGCTGGGTTCCCCATGCTCCTCTGAGCCCCTAACTATAGTGCTTCTGACTCCACTGACTCAAAAGACCAAAGGGCAGGGGCCATGTCTTATTCTCCGTGACAGTCGTAGCACACAGCGCAGATTTTGGTACGTAGGACTTTTTCAGTGGCGTGTAAGGAATGCCTCTGGTGGAGAAGCCTGGTAGACAATGGACCACATTGGCTAGGACTGGACATTCTACCTTGAATGAACACCTATGTATGAATTGTGGTTAACCTTATAAGAGTTACAAGGTCAACCTAGAGAGAGAGTGTGAGAGGAGGACTCATATCCCAGCACATACACTCTTGAGGAGCCCTACACACTGGGATATTACGTTTACCCAAAGTGCATAATGTAATAGTTTTTGGTACATTCACAGGGTTGTGCAACCATCACTGCAGCTAATTTCAGAACATGCTGCCCGTGGAACCCCCTCCCTCCCTGTAGCACTCACCTCCTGCTCCAGTTACCCCTCATTTTCTCCCAACGCCTAGTCCCTTGCTGTTCTGTTTACTTTCTGTCAGGACTGATTGTCCCTCTCCTAAGTTACATCTATTCTATCTGTGCTTCAGCACTTACATTTTTTTATTGTACTTAAGTTTACATACATAGCTACTCTTTTAGAATTAAAAGCTCTTTGAAAATCTGCCTTTAGTAATTTTTTCCACAAAACGTATCCTCCCGTTTTCACAGCACAACGTTTTTCTAAAGGACAGACATAAATAAATATGTATATAAAAACATGGGAACCCTCAGAACTTGTCCACTCCTTACCCCAGTCAAGCGTTTGATGGGTTGCTTGGCGTAGGGATTGAAAATAGTGGTCTGGTTTCTGTCCACCGTACTACAGAGAATGGCTTTAGATTAAGTCAGCTAAGTGTCCTCCCAGCGGCAGATAGTTTAACATAAACAAGCTGCTTCATGTTCAGAAGTGCCTCTAAGAGATAGAGGAATAGACACATCAAAAACCACTTTGGAGGAAAAATGTTCTACCAGTTATACTTTCTCCACCCACAAAGTGAACATGGGCTCCTCCCGTAAGAGATTTAAAATCTTCTCACTATACTCTCCACATGTCTGCTGTGACTATAATAAGTTGTCTTATCAAGTGGACTTGTTCTTTCTGTGGATATTTTTAGCACTTAGTGTATTAAAGACATTCTGATAGGTGTTGGGGGAATTTTTAAATAAATTAGTTTTCATGCAGTCCTTGCCCTCACAGAGAGCTTCAGTTTGAACCTGATTTTAATAGATCATTTCTTTGAATTTTGGTTTTCTAGTAGTAAAGCCAAAGCAATGCATCTGTATTGAATTTATGAGCATCAGAGTCTTGTTCATTTTGGAGTCTTTGGAGGGCTCATCATCTTCGTTAGCTACATTTTATTATTACTTTGCTCTTTGGGACGTAGACTGGGAGACAGGCTTTCATTGAAGGAGCTGGGTGACATTCATTCAAAGAGCTTTGACTTCTAAGTTTGTCTTATGAAATGTACTACATGCAGGAGGATTTGTGTACTGTGCACCATGGACAAATTCATAAACAATTCTGCACCAAGCGGCTTTTGCATTTATGTGTTTCAGTATTTGGGGATTGCACCTTGAGCTCTTCAATACTGAGAACAAAGTGATATGAATGGGTTCATGTGTCCAGGCTCCCAGAAGGGAAAGTGCAGAGAATGGATCTCACCTTGGTGCAAAGTCAGCTTCCCGTGGTACACAGAGTGTACCCTGTCCTCTGCTCCTCACACTTTTTCTTCTCTGTGACTGCCCCTTTCCCGGCGAATACGCCACCTCTTCCTCCTCTCCTTGCTCTGTTTTATTTGCCCAAGTCTTTCAAAAAGGGCACAATCACTTTGATACCTGATTGGCACACTGAACTTTTCTTCATGCTTTTAAAAATATGTTTTATTGCTGCCTATTAATTTTACAAAATATTGAGGCTCAACATGGTGTTTTGATACATGAATATAACATATTTTGATCATATTCATCCCCCAGTACCCTCCCTTGTACTTTATTCCTGCTAATATTATTCCTTTCCTCTTATCTAGTAAAAGTCTCCCTCACAGTGAGCATTTTAAAACATACTTATATGTCTATATTGAACTACACTGTCAAGCATTACGATTCTTCTCCCCATTCTTTTTGGGAAAGCTGTCCCACCAGTATACACCTTAGGTATACGTACATGTTCAAATCATCTGCTTTGGTGATGCAGTATCTGGAAAGTTCCTGGCAGCTCGCTGGCATGGTGAGAGTGCGGGGCTCCTCAAGGCCCTGTGTGTTACCCCTGTGGCACCAGTTTGTAGACTCTCCCTGTCTCCGACCCGATGAGATCTGCAGCTTTACACAGACACTTGTTCCATCTCAGGTACGGCTTGCTGCCTGGACATCGACCAGTTCCTTCCTGAGTGTGACAGAGGCCCTGATCTGTTGACTTTGTTGTTTGAACTATCCATGAATACTGGAAATGGTGAGGGAAGGAATGCTAAACTGATCATGATCCTGCTGAACCTCACTTTTGCCGACTGCACTGAGCTGCCAGTGTTTCACCACATCTCCTAGCCTAGGGATGATTTACCTCTGCCAGCCAGAGACGCTGCGGTTGCTCTTTGCAGAACTGATGTACCGCAGTGTCAAACATTGTAGGTCCTTAAATATTTAAAACTGGCCAACCTGTTGGTGTTCTTGGGGAGAATCAACAACCATCATTAAATGAATAAAAATCTGCTATTGCTTAATTTTCTGTAGTTAATCCATATGAGATATAGCTCATTTTACAATCAAAGCTTGAAGTTCATCTGGTCTTACAAATTTCAAGTTAGGGCCAGTGCTTGAAATCACTGCTTTTCTCTCTATCATATCATTCTCTCTCTCTCTTTCTCTCTCTCTTTCTCTCCCTCCCTCTTCCCCTTTTATTTTTTTGATACTGATGCTTGAAACCAGATTGTTAGCTCTGACTACATCACCAGTCCTTTTCAGAATGTTTTTTAAAATTTTGAGGTAATATCTCCCTGAGTTGTAAAATTGCTGAGGCTGAGTTCAAACTTAGAACCCTCCTGCCTCTGCCTCCTAGAGTTCTGGGGTTACAGGTATGTCCCTCCACCTGGCTCCCAGTCATACCACCAACAGTGAATTTCATGCCCAACTTGTATATACCCTATATTTTTTGTCAGGCTTTCTCAAACTTACCATAACTTTGGTGAAAACCTGTTTAGCTCTTTTAACATATTAGTATCAGAACCACAGAATTTAACTGCACAGACACACAAACCTATATATAATACATACGTGTAAATAAGGACTCATTTCTGATGAAGGTCAATTGTTGAGAGCATTTACTATTCTTGTCTTACAGAATAATTTCGCCAAGCTTTAAAATGGGTCAGTTTTAGTCACTTTCTTGCACCCAAAAGAGTCACCAGGGTTTGACACTTTAATACTTTCACTCCAATGTCCTATCACAGAATGGAGCTTAGGAGGCATCACCTACTGAAGAAATGCCATTGTGATGGAATGGGACTGTTGTTTCCAAAGAAAGGGAAAAACAAGGGAGGAACGAAGCTTCAGAGAAAACTAGTATCTTTGACTTGAATGATTACCAAAAACTGCAAAGAGACCAAGTCTTGCATATACTGTCCTATTTTCTGGGCCAGGAAGAGAGAGGTTATAGAGATCATGGAGAAATTGCCAAGCCTGTTAGAGCTGATGCGATTCTTCCCCTGTTTCTTATGCAGGATGACTTAATGAGACACATTTCCGAGGGTTGCCCCGGAATCCTGTATCTCAACCTCTCTAACACGGCCATCACCAACAGGACGATGCGACTCCTGCCCAGGTAATGCTTGCCTTACTCATCCTACGCTGAGGACAGTTGTGCTCCTCTATGCTCGGGCTCCTTCTGGCGTGCCCCAAAGGCAACGCTCTTTTTGCCCACACCCTGTCACTGTGGCAGTTTGGTCATTGGTCTTGCACCCTGGCCAGTTTTCTGTCACTCTTGTAGCCATGTGCCCAGCAGCTTGAGTTAGACTTTACCTGTCTCTTCCTGGTCCCCCTTCCTGGGCTTTGGAGCCTGGCACCTAAACTCTAGCCTGGTGTCTGGGACCTCACTGTAGCAGAACCCCAACATACCTCGCTGCTTTGACCACCACTGACCCTAATGCCTGTTACTACTCTCTGGGTTTCTGTTGAGACCCACCACTTCCAGGGAACCAGGCACTTTGGTTTTTGGCTGTTCATGGCCTTCTGACGTGCTCAGGCATGAATGTTGCTTCTCTCTAGCCAGGACTCCCTGGGAGAAGGGACAGAGGAATGTGGCAGTGGACAGAACATTCCAGTATTATAGAAATACTAATAAAGAAGAATATACAGTCATATTGGGAGTCAAATTTGAATTTGGGAAAACATTTCTGAAACTGTTGTGCAAGAATGAGCTATTTTTGAGAATATAACTTTTTTTTTGAGCTCCTTTGAAAAATAACAGGAACAAAACTTAGCAAAGCCAAAACAGTGAGAATTCTAGGTGCTTAATTTTCTTTATCTCCTGGTTCTAACCATTTTCCACAAACACACATCAAAAGAGTGGCCCCATATTTTCTGTTTATTACATTAATTGAAGTTGTGTTTTATTTGGTGAAATCTATGCAAGCTTCTTTTGAAATTTCTTCTGAAACATTTAAACAGAATCTCCCCCCTCCCCACTAGCCATTTAATAGCATTTACTTATTTTTTCTCTTGTTTGTTTTATTACTCAAGTATATAATCAACCTAGAATGCATTTTTGTAGATGAATGAAGCAGTGATCTAAGCTAGTGGTCAACAAACTATGGCCCATGTGGCCCAAGGTCTGATTTTATGTGGTCCACCAGCCAGGAATAGCTTTCCATTTTCAGAGCTGTTAAATAGCCAGTCAGTTGTCCAGCATCACTAACTAACAAAAACATTTATCAAATGATAGGTGATTCTTCCATACATCTTTAAAATTCTCATACAGGCAATGAATACTTAAAATTCATCACTTTCTAATATTTCTCTGCATGTTACTTTATCTGCGTTCTTGAGGTTATTTATGTTTACTGTGTCACTCTGATGAAATGCTTCCTCTTGGCGTGACACTCAGTAGCTTGGAATTGGCCAACTGGGAATATTCCACACCAGGGAAAATGGCAAACACAACAAATCAAGGCGTGATTTATTGTTTTGTTGATTGTTTAGACTTTAGAAAGTGATGAAAAAGGCAATGAGGCAAATGAAATTTGAAAGCGTATCATGACTGTAGTCAAACATTGTACATACAAAAAATTGTGTAAATATTCTTTCAAGACTTTAAAATTATTATCTGATTCACCAAAGAAGGCACTCCTATCATTGATGGATGAGTGAAGACTGGGTATATGCATCTGTTTATCAAACTTATTACTGTAAATGAATGTAACGTATGAATAAATTATTATGTAATTCACATGGAACTACACTCATTCCTGTTACAGCTGTTGATTGGCTGGTGACATTTATAGAAGTGTGGCAAGTCATTGAAAGCATTATGTGAGAATTGAAGTCCATATAGAATTCACAATAAAGAATATTATGTATTTTATTATTATTTGCAAATTGGATGCTATCAACCTTTGTATATGTACAAGATAAAATTTTATAATTCTCATTCAACTAAAAATTATGATAAATGTACACACATTTACATGGATTTTCTTTTCTTTTTCTTTTTTTTTTTTTTTTTTTGGAGAGCCAGTTGTTTGATTCTTTTTTTTTTTGGTACTGGGAATTGAACTCAGGATCTTGTGCCTGCTGGGTAGGTGCTTGAGCTGCTGAGCTGTATCCCCAGCCCTGAGCCAGTTGTTTGATGTTTACCAGTACACTGATAATTAAAGATAAACTAGGAACTGATTTATATTCTTAGACTATTTGATCTTCCTATTAGGAACATAGCATATTCATTGCTTCTTGGCCTTTTGGCTAAGATCAAGTGTAGAAACATAGCATATTTAAAAGTGCTTCTTTCAAAATTCTTAAATATCTCAATAAAATTTTGTTTTACACATGTCAATAATGTTTGTGAAAGTTATTTCTAGGTGTGTATCTTTATTAATTGTCATTGTGCATAGTAATAGACTTTTATTATATTTTGTTATAATATTTTCTCATTACAGTTCCTAAATGCTCATTTTTGAACTTGAATATGATATACAGGTATCATTTTATACTTTGAATGATTTAACTGATTTTTAAAAAAAAAAATAATTAAGGCTGGGAAATTACTTCCAAATAAGAATTTTGGCAAAGCTTTTAAGACTTGGGAAGAATTATTTTCATATTCTAAGGAAACCAACCTATATTTTCTTTTCCTCTTTGACCTGGTAATTACTTAGAAAAGTTTTGGTTCCAAGGGTTGATGTTTTTTTGATTAAGCATCTGTTCTTAATTATTCACTGTATTCAGGAAATGTGTCTTGAATTATTTCTACTTTTTGGAATTTCTTGGGATTACTTGGTGAACTAGTTTAAAATTAATTTCATTAAATTGTCCATGAGTGTTTAAAACAAAGAGCTCCTTTTATAAATTAAAATTCTGTGCATGTAAGCATGTGCATATAATCTCTTGATATGTCCTAGTATAAATCTCTTGATATGTCCTAGTATAATAGTAATATACTAGTTGCCTTTTATAATCAAACTTCTCTTAATTTGTGATGTTATTTTATAAAGATTAATAATGTCATGTTTCATTATAGAATATAGCATTTGTTCATATAAAATTATATTTTTTCATGGTTGATATTTCTTTTCTATAAATTATTTTTAATCTAACCATTATTACCTCTGCTTTCTTTTGCTTGTTACATTTGTGAAATAACTTTATGTATCCCTGTATTTTTAATCTCTATGTATTGAATTTTAGTTTAATCTTTTATATGCATCCTGTAGCTACCTTCTATTTTATTTTTTTTTGTTACTGGGAGTCGAACTTAGGACCTTGCGCTTGCCAAGCAGGTGCTTCTAACTTCTATTTTAAAAATTTCCATTTCTTTGCCTTTTGAAGAGGAAGTTTGAAAGATCAATACTTCCTGTCAAAATTGAATGTGTGGTCTTATTTATATCACCTTTTATGCTTTGATTTTTATATGACTGCCCCGTATCCAGTGTTTCTGCCTTTCACTACGTGAACTATGTTGTTTAGTCTTGTGACATGAAGGTGTTTCAAAGGCATGTTCAGATTCTGTCGTGTATTCTACTTATTGGCTATTTGTCTGTTTTTTTAAAAAGTATGCTTTAGTATGCGTTTGCCTAATTGTCAAAGCCAAGATAAGGCTAAGATTTGATTCTCCCTGTTAGGGAAGAGTGCTGGTGCATTAATTCTCCGTCCACTTCTTTGAACTTGATGGCTTTTCTTGTCCACTCCCCTGCGTGAAAACAATGATTATCTGTGTTTTTTGCTAATCATCTAACTTTCCTTTTACTATTGATTTTTAGTGTATGCACTTAATATTGTGAATTGAATTACAATGATCATAATCCTAACTGAGATGATTACAGTTACATAATCCTAATTAGTTGAAGCCATTCTTTGGCGTCTCCCCCAGTGACTGAGGTATAATTCTCAGCCTTTTTATCAGGACATATTTGCAGTCCACGTTCACACTCCTTGTGGGAGCTGGTACACGTACAGAACACATGTCCAGTCCTTCCTCGTCCCCTTCCCTCTGCTCCCTTTGTCTCTTGATCCCCTCCCATCTGAGAATGATCTGTCTCCCTAGTTCCTGTCATCTTTTATTTTGCTCTTTATTTATAATTTGAATTTCTCATGTAAGAGAAATCATCTGATATTTAAGCTTGTGTGTCTGATTTATTTTTCATAACAATATGGTCTAAAGATGCACCCACTTTCCTACAAAAGACCAAGTTTAGACTGAGAAATAATGAAAATGTTTTTTCAAGACAGATGCACGAGTGTTAAACTTTTCAGGCATTGATGTCTGAAAATGATTAACATCTTGGAGACTGGATAACAACTTCTCTTGGTATATACATCTTCAGTTGGGTTCTTTATTTTATCTTACAACTCTAAAATGTTGCCCTACAAACTTGGGTATTTCAGGTTAAAGAGAGGTCAAAAGCCAGAATCTCTTTCTGCTCCTTCATTTGTAACCTGTTTCATTTTTTCTGTCAAGATGTTTTGACAGTTTTCCTTTTCTCTGAGTATGAAAGACATTTTAAAGCTTGTGTTCTTTCAAGTAATTTTTAACTTGAATTATTTTCTCAGCCAAGAAAGGCATTTTTTTTAAACCTCTAGCCATATGTTCTGGGTTTATTTTAAGAACCCTTCTTTATTTTTAGATCAGCTTTTATTCCTTCCTCCAAAGCTGTCATCTTTTCTTTTACTATTTTTGTCTCTGTATGCCTCTCCATTAGCATACTGCCTTCTCTATTCCAGTAGTTCTTAACATATAGTCCAAAGACAGCAATATTCTGGGAAATGGTTTGTAGGGTTTATTGATTTCTGTGGTGCAAGAGATCCCACTATGGCCAATTTTAAACCATCAGTATGACATCATTTAATGTAGACTTTGGAGGGGATATTAAATATTGAACTTACGGGAGAGTGTAAGCCAGCTCCAATGATGCCCATGTGGGAAGCCCCTGAGGATCCCCAAGACTCCAGGAGTTGAAGTCTTTTAGTCCTGTGACATAACATTCACTCAGGGCTTTTCTTTAAACATTTCATGCTAAGGTGTATAAGTACATGTGTGTACATATGTATATGAGTCTTTATAGATGTGAATGAATTATTTATACCTTTTAGAATCTACCAAACTTTTTAATGAAATAATTTAATAATAAAAGTTACATATAAAAGTATATTTGGGGCAGGAGAGAAAATATAAGATCAACATGTGAAGATCTGAACTTAAAAAGTAGATGACTTTTTTTTAACCTTTTTACCAATTATGCTTTGAGATAACCTTGTTTCTCTTAGGAAAGTTAATGTCATGTTATAACTATCATAACTTCTGAAGAACTTTTTTTAGACAAATGAAGACATGTCTTTCATAGGCAACAGATACAAAATTAGGACCCCAAATAAGAATTTTGTTTTGGTTTTAACTTCTGGTTCTTGCCACTGAAAGAACATTTAGAATACATATTAACTGATACTGATTTGTTTGTCAAATTGAAAAAAAATGTACACTGACTTTCATATAACAAAAAGACATTTAAAGTGAGTCTCTAGTTTTTGCTGCTTTCCACTGTCTCAGACCTGCTTTGGTGCATGAAGAGTTCTTTAAACTCTAACAAACCAGAACAGTGCTGGGTGTTCTGCCGTTCTCGCTTCATGGCCTTTGGTACTCATTCCAAAGAAATCATTTGCCAAAAGAAAGTACACTCTTTTTGCCCTTGTTGGCAGCCTTCATTTACCAGTTCTTTATTTGAATATTTTTCCTCACTTCTTTGGGGACTTGTTCGGTTTTCTAAAGTTGAAAACGAGGGCACCCACAGCCCATGCCCTTTCCAGGAAGTGTTTTGTTTCTAAATATTTCCTGAATTCCACCCTTGCCAATTATTCCTGTTGCCACAGTCCAGGTGGCACGCTCAGCCCCTTGTCTGGCGCGGTTCACCTCTGGTCTCTTTCCCAGTGCATCTGTCTGCTGTACACTGCAGGCAGGATCAGCCTGGGAGAATCTTCCTATCATGTCTGGACTCTTAATAGTCTCCTGTCAGATCTGCCTGTTTAGGTCTCCCAAGAGAAGCCCTTATCCCTGGTCATCTGAGTGCTACGTGCCTTGCCTTCTCTATGACTGGAACTTCCTTCTTTTCTTTGCTAACCCTCAGCCTTTAGCCTCTCAAGGCATGCCATCTGCCAGAATTCCAGAGTCTCCTCCTTTCCTTGTATTCTAATAGCAAGATTCGTTCACTCAAGCATCATCTAATGATGAGCTACAATGCATCAGTCCTGCAGGAGAGGCAGTTGCGAGTAAGGCTATTACGATCTTTATCCTTTTCTTTTTTCTCTTTTGCAAGGAGATCTCACTGGGTTGCCCAGGCTGGCATGGAACACTTGTGGCTCAAGCAAACCTCCCGTCTCAGCCTCCTAAGTATCTGGGACTACAGGTGTACAAAACCATGCCTGACTTTATCCTTGTTTTTTAACCAGCTTTACATGCTTAATGGAGTGGTGTCTACTTGGTTTTTTTTGTACATATATGAACTGACCCTTCATTGGCTTGGAAACTCTATTGTCAGGGACTGTCATGCCCTATCCTCTCTCCAGTACCCACCACAGTGGGGCAGGCAGAGGAAGCTGTTGTCTGATTGGATAACCTCAAGTTCACCTGGTATGTACGAGGCTACATAATTACATTTAAATTTTCCGTACAATTCTATTTTTTGAAACTGCCTCCATGACACTAAAAAGCTTACTACTCAATTCAGAAGCACTCGCATGCGGATTCCTTCTTTTATAGTCTGGGCTTCATCTCTGTGATTTTTAAGAGAAATTTTTATTTAAATACATAGTTTTGTTTTCCTTCCGGCAGTGGGAGATCTAATACAGAAACCTCAATTCTTAATGGAAACAAAGCGAAAAGAAAGGAGGGGATAAAAACCTCTGTAATTTCTGTAAGAATTTTAATTCTTAAAGATTATAGTAGTAGCATGAACAGAAATAAATCACAAAGAGAAAAGCCATCACGCAATAGAAACATTTAGCTATGAAATTATTAGGAAAAGATGAAAATAGATGTAAACACTTTGTCTCAAGGCAGAATTAGAATTATCAAGTGACTTCAGTGCTGGGAAAATGAACCAGATCTTAGCCTTGGAGGAGTCCTTTCTTTGCCAAACTTTTTAATAAAAAGTATCAGTATTGCATAAAATTTGCCAAGTGTGATTTCGCTGTTAACTGATACTTTCCCTGTCTCCAGCAGCCCTGAGTCTACAGGGCCCCTCAGGAATCCTGTGCTGTGCTCATAGGACTCCCGTGAGGTTCCCCCTTAAGAGAACCACCTAGAGCCTTTCAACCAGGGGTCACTAGTCTAACGAGCAGCCTCTTTTGTCTGAACCAGAGACTATTAGCCTGGGATCAGTGGATCTCCCGAAAAAGACCACAGGAGGGATTCAGGGAGTCTGTAGGTTTTCATGGAAGTAAAAATCCTATTTTCACTAAGCTCTAACTGAACTGTAAGTAAAAATCAGAGCAGTATTAACAGCCCTTGAGACTTTTTTCACCTATACAAACCACAAATATATTCTTATAATATTACAGTTGTTATGTATATTTTGAAATAGCATGAATAACAATTATGAAATGTCATTAGTAACTACAGAGTTATTAGAGCAACTTGTTATTTAATGTTAATAAAGAAACACGTATACAGTATAATATTCTACCTGTTAGGTTTTAAATTATTAATAATTATATGTTTCAATACAATTGGCTGCCTTTATAATCTTGTATATTTTGTTTTATACATTTAAAAACATGCTAGGAAAGGGTCTTTAGACTTTACCAGCCTGACAAAGGTGTCTGCGACACAAAAAAAGATGAGGACCCTCATGCAATTCTCATCTTTAGGGCCTGCTCACTGATCACATGGATTGAAAGAAATGGAACAATATCCTTGGGCCGGGTGTAGATTCATTGTGATCTCCCCCAAATTCTCAGAATCATTTATATGCACTTCTCTCGTGAGATGGGTCTCCCCGCCACTAAATGAAAGAAATAGTCCAAACTCCTTAAAAACTGTTCATATGTATTGTTATTTGAGATAGTAGTAGCAATAATAACAGTGTATATATTCTTAAAGCTTCTACCATGTCCCTGGATATTTTAATTGTTAAAATTACCCTCAAGATAACAGGAGCACATCTGTGTTCTCATTGAATTGTCACTTCTTTAAAGGGAAAGAGCAGATGGGATTATACCCATCTCACAGAAAAGGAAACTGAGTCAGGAAGGTTGCAGGCCTCACAGTTTGTCAGGGTTAAAAAAAGTGACATTATCATTTCCATTTAGCAGAAGCGGAAACAATCTGAGAGGTCAAGGAAGTTGCAGCAAGTGTCTGAGCTGGGATTCGAATCCAGTTTGGTCAGATTCCAAAGCCTTGTGTATTTTGTGCTGCGTCCCCGCTGCCTACCTCACCCGTTAGTCTTTGCTCCACATGAGAGAGCTGAACGATTGTTAGAATGGTCCTCCCCACGCCTACCTTCCTTGGGAAAGCTGTTGGTTCCTCAGCCCCAGCATGGGCTGTTCTCAAGGGAGAGGAAGAGTAAACATTTCCAAGCCTCTGGCCCTGCTCTTGGTGCCCTGTCTTTGGGCTTCAGTGCTCTCTCCCCTTGGGGACTCTGCCCACTCCCACTTGGGTCCCAAGTCTCCCTGTCTCCCGTGCAGCCTTCTGCACACAGCCGTTCCCGGAGGCAACCTGTGCTCTCAATCAGATGCTTTGCTGAGAAACAGGGACCATTATGTCATACACATGTGGTTTTCAGATTTTAGAACTAAAACTGATTAATGGTCAGTGCTTGCCTATCTTATTTCCCATTTATGTGAAAGCAGACTTTATTATTTATTTATAGAGGAACACAGAGGCATTTTTCCTCACTGTTCCTTCTCACATTCTCATTTGCTGTTAAACTATTGCAGATCACAAACCAAGAGCATGTTGTTAGTTCCATTATGAGAGCAGGCGGTAGTGGGAGTCCTTTTACTTTTAAAAAATGCCAGGCTGAGGAGGGCTGGAAACTTGTCCAGAGCGTCCTCAAAACTCAAGTCCTTGTGCGTTAGTGTAGCCTCATCCTAATGACCCGCTCGCTGCTTTTGGGAAAGCGCTGTTCGGTCATGGTGGTAATGCCCTGTTCCGTGTGTTCCAGCTCCCGGGAGGCTGAGCTCTGATTCAGTTCCTGTTCTTCTCATCCGTAGCCTACTCATTTGCAGACTGTTCCTACCCTATGTTTAAGCTCTGAATATTTGTCTTTTAAAAAATTATTATAATGAAACTGCCACTTATAAAATCATGACTAAGTCTATGCTTTCCAAACTCTCTGATTATCATACCCATTTAAAGAGACTATTATATTCAATTTGCCTTCTTTCTGCCCCAAATCCTCACTCTCATGGAACAGTTAATCTCCATTTAAATGTTCACAAAAGATACGTTTTTCTAGAAAGTTTGCAAATTATTTTGGGGACTCCAAAGATAAGCCTTAAGAACAATAAACTAACTTGTTTCCCAAAACAAAGTAACTTCCAAAAACTATGCAAACAGCAACCCTCACCCTTCCAAAAAAACTTTATCTTGATCAACCTTGTAAAAATCTAGCCAAACATTCCTTCTTTTTGCTTCAAATGCAATTATGCATTATCTGATACGGTACTGAAATCTTTAATTAGAAGAGCGAGAGTTAACAATAAAGTTAAGCTGCTGAACATCTGCAAGGAGGAGAGATTAATGCACGCTGTTTGTTCTCTTTGTTATGGTGGTTTAGAAAGATCTGAGAGAACAACTGAAGTCGAACCACTTCCCGTGTCTCTTTTCTTCCCTTGTCTCTCCAGGCACTTCCACAATTTACAGAACCTTAGCTTGGCTTACTGCCGAAAGTTCACAGACAAAGGTTTACAGTACCTGAACTTGGGGAACGGATGCCACAAGCTCATCTACCTGGACCTTTCTGGCTGCACCCAGGTTTGCCTTTCAGTATCCCCTTCCCTGCAGCGGGTGAGCAGGTCTTCCGGAGGCCAGGCAGCATGCAGCCCTCATGCTCCACGAACGCTGTGCATGGCCGGCCCTGCAGCAGCACACTTTGCAGAGGTTTTAAGTTACACGGCCACGGCTGCTTGAGCTCTCCCCAGGGTTGCTACTATAGGCTCTTGGCCTCCCTCCACCGGGTGTCACATCCACAAGCAGCCAGAGCTCATTGGAGGACGAAACGCTCCACTTCAGTGGAGACGCTCCGAGCACAGTTCTGAGACCACAATCCAAATCTTGAAAACTTTACAGCTGTTACTAAGATACGGACAAAGGAGGAGAATGATTCCTGAAAAATCAATTTGCTCTCACATTTTAAAGAAATGCCTGAGTGATAAAAGGGAGAAAGGAAATATGCACAGTAAGGATTTTAGTTTTTAATGCTGCAATGTTCTTGGGTAAAATACCATGAAGATTTGAGAACTATGTGGGAAAATATTTTAAGCGGGAGGAACCAGGACTAGGAAAGTTGGGCAGAAAGCAGGGTGCAGCTGTGACAGGTAGGGTGTGGCGCATTGGAAGTAGTCACTGATAGCTTGTTCTCCTCTAACTTTGATAAGTCCAGGTCATAATTCTCTTAGTTTATTCTCTTCCACCTCTTTGTGTATCTTACTGATGTCAGTGTCACAGAATATTCCTTATTTAGAGGAATAATTAATAGCACAGGTGAGAACTGCTGAACCATTGGTAGTTAGCATTTATCGAGACATTACTGCATGCCAGGCACGGGGCTATGTGCACTGCACAGATCGGTTTATGGTGCAGCATAGTATGTGTTTCTGATGCCCGCATGCAAGTGGCTAAGTTGCCCAAGGTTACACAGCTGGAGGAAGCGCATGATATGGGCACATTGACAAGCGCCTGTGGGTGGCTTCCAAGGCAGGCAGGTTCCCCAGGGGGCTGGCGAACACAGCGGCAGTGTGAGGTTCTTCTCTGAGTTCTTGAGTTCTTACCTCTTTTTGCTTGTCACTGCGACACAATACCCGACACCCACAGCTCTTCAGGGAGAAGTTTGTTTTGGCTCACAGTTTGTAGAGGTTTCACTCTCTAGTTGACTGGCTCCAAGGCAGAATGGCATGGCAGAGCGGCATGGACGAAAGAGCTGCTCAAGCAGAGAGGAGGCGAGGGGAGCTGAGGAGGAAGATAAACCCTTCCTGGCCACGCCTTCAGTGACCTGCCTCTTCCGACCACGCCCACCTTCTAACGCGAGCCAGCTGTGAGCCCCCATAACCCAGTCACCTTCTAAATCCCTGCCTGTGAGTACATGAGGGCTTGGGGCACATCCGGTTATAAACCACAGCACCACCCTGCTGCCAGACCAGGGCGGTACGTGAAGGAGGAAAATCTCCTGGCCAGGCTTGAAAATATTTCGAATTTACATGTCTTTCAAACTGGCTTATTGATGTGTAGCTTGCTCAATATTACCATCTACCAGGTTTTACCCTCAGCTTGGCTAACTTGAGAAAGAATTCTTACCCCGCTAGGCCCCTGACCTACCTTTTCTTACAGCATTTACTTTAGAAAACTTGGAATTGTACATTCATTCTCTGCCGTCCTGGAGATGTAAATCTTTTTTAAGAAGATGCTTGCTGGTTTTAAAGCCCAGGACTGTCTTCCTCAAGGACCTGGGAACTATCTCTTTGATGAGTAACCATTAAAGAAGTTGGCTCCATATCTTCCAGATTCTGTGTTCAGGGATAAATTAATATCTTAATGTGCAAATACCATTGAGCAACTCTTCTACTAATTCACTATTGTGCTTAACAACTCTCCCGCAGTATGACTTACCTCCTTGTTTTCCTCAGTTTCCAAGAGGTCATTGTTGTAGCAACACACACACACGCACACACACACACACACACACAGTGTTAGTTTGCATTGCTGTGACAAAATGCCTGAAAAAATCAAGTTTAAGGAAGAAAGAACAGCTGGCTGTGTTGGCACATACCTGTAATTCCAGCACTCTAGGTGGCTGAGGCAGGAGGATTGCACATTTGAATCCAGCCTGGGCAATTTAGTGACTTAGTGAGATCCTGTTGCAAAATAAAAAGTGAAAAAGGGCTGGGATGTAGCTGGAAGGGTTTAGAGTTCACTCTCCAGAACTGGAGGAAAGACTGACTTCAGCTCACAGCTTAAGAGGTGTTAGTCCATGGTCACTAGTCCATGGCTTTGTTACTTCTGGGTCTGTGGTGAAGCAGCACATCATGAGGTGGAGGTCCCAATATCCTCTTCAAGGGGACCCTGTGACTTCTTCCAAGCAGCCTCACCTCCTAAAGCTTCTCTCTCCCTCTCCCTGCATCCTTAGAATAAATATATTTCAGACACAGCAAAGTCTAAATCAAAGTTTTCACGTCTGTGATATATCATAGCCCAGATGTACATGCAAATATGAGTACTATGTTTTTAAATTTTGAGCCAATATTTAACATTTTGGAATTTTTACCGAAGAAAAAGAATTTCTTCAGGGAAAGAAAGGGGAGGAAGTACCTGAATTGGGCCTGCATCTCTGCCTGACAGCAGTCAGCACAGGTGAGTCAGCCTGCCCCCAGGACGTGAGCCCCCTTTCCCGCCCATAGCCTCTCATCCTGATAATGCCCTCGCCTGCCTGCGCCCTGCATGCCAGCCCTCAGGCAGTGTTTATGTTTGGTGTGAGTGTGAAAAGAATAGAATACTTTCCCCACTGTCCTCTAACTTATAAATCTCAAGCCACCGTGAAGTTAGTATCTCACATCATTGTGCAAAACAGCGTCAGTTCCCTTCATCCATCACTCTTCCATTTGTTTAATAACTCAACAGAGACTTTGCTGTAGAGGTCAGGCACTAGTTCAGGCACTGGAAATTGAGCCGTGAAGCGAGCTGCTTCAGGTCCGCTGTAAGAGACGGACTCCTTCTGAACCGCAGGTCTTAGTGATGTGGCATACAGGCTGCTGCTAAGCGACTTCTTGAGTCCTTGAGGAGGCTCTGTTTACCTCTAATTTCAAAGCAGGAATTTAATGACTCACTGGTTTTTAATGTTTTCCTCTATAAATAAGAGGTTCTATTTTGGAAGCTTGAATCTATTTCCTAAGTTTGAATTTCACACTAGGAAATCATGTGTTAATAGATCTAGCCAAGGACCAAGCTCCTGATAAGACAGAGACTTGAGAACAGGAGCAAACACACCTAGATGCTTCCAGGGTGTTCTGAGCCCCTGGGGCATGCCCGCCACGCGGCTGTAACGGGTCAGTCAGCATCCCATCTAGCATCTTAGGAGCTCTGGATTGGCATAAACAAAATATGCCGAGAGGGAAACTTCAATGCAGCCACTGCTGTCTGAAAAGGGAAGAGTTTATTTATACCATACTGTGAAAGAATTGTAAGCATACTTGTTAGAAAAAATAGATGACAGAGAATTGCAATGAAAAATGAAAATCAATTACATGTGTTTTAGAAACATTTTCCTTTTTTTTTTATTGTGGTACTGGGGATTGAACTCAGGGCCTTGTGCATGCTAGGCAAGCACTCTACCACTGAGCTATGTCCCCAACCCACAGTTTCTATTCTTTAGGAATTGAATAAGCATCTTAGGTGCAGTAAGCAATGGGATGGATTTTCCATGACTGTCAGAGCTTGCACGTGCACCTGCATGTCGCCCGGTGTCTTTGGTGGGTTGGGACAGCAGTGCTGTGCTCGGTTTCCCTTCTGCTCACACTCAGCTCAGACTCAGGGCACTGTCTGTGAGTTCTTCATTCTCCAGAGCAAACCCTGGCTTACACTTGTCACTTTGAAAGGTGATCTTCTTTTAATTAAAAAAAAAAAAATTGACTTTTTCCATGTTACATGTTCAAGGTATACAAATTTGAAAATATATGCAAGAAAAAAGAAAAAACTAAAATTGCTTGAAATTCCACCATGCAGAAATGTAAGTGCTAGTAGTAACTCAGGGAATGGCTTTTTGGTCTTTTCCCCATATGTGTGTATACTTCTCTTAATTTAACCTGGATTATATGGTATACATACCTTCTCTTTAATATTTGATAATTGTATGTCTTTCTATTTCATTAAATATTTTTCTACATAAGCTATTTTTCTACATAAAGCTACAAGCTTTATGGTATTTTATTCTGTCAGAATATCAGTATTTATTTAACCAATCATTATTAGCCTACCAAATTTTACATTCATAAATTACCTGTGATGAAAATTCTTATACATGTGTTTTTGGTATACATTTTCAGAAATGAAACAGAGGATATAGTTATTTTTAAGGCATAATGATTGTCACTTACTTCAATATAAAATAATTTTTGGTATCTTAAAAATATATACTAAAATAACTTGTCAATTTAACACTAACCATCATGTTTTATATTTTTAATTTGCATTTTTTATTCACCTGTAAGATTAAAGGACACATGAGAGGTATTAAATAAGTATTTGTTAAACAACAGTGTCCTATTCTAGAGTGCCATGGTTAAAATGTTTTCAAACTAATTAAATATTTACTTTCAGAGTCTGAGTTCAAAATTGTCCTTATAGAAGTTTTTAGAAGGAAAAGACAGTTATACTCATTTAACAAAAATTTCTGATTTTTTAAAATTCAAAATCAGTTCAAAAATTTAATTGGTTTGCTTTTATACCATTCTCTCAAAGTTATAAAATCTAAGCTTAGGCAGAACAATTTTAAACACAATTAGGAAAGGCCTTTTAGTTACATAAAATCATTTCATCATATAAAAAAGCACCTTTCCCCCCCATATTTTCTGCAGTCTGGGGGACACTTGGCAACAGAGAGGAGTCCACCCTCCGCTCTGCTCTATTTTTTTTTTTTTTTT